AGTTCAAATACACAACTTACAATTACCTCCGGTGATCACAGATATGGGCATGACATTCATGGCAGTGCATTTCCGAAGAAACTCAATAGCATGTTCGTTTGACCTTAAAAGGATGAATACAGTATATGGCAGTGATTCCGAATAAAAAGAAAACTTGGGGTCACGCCGAAATCGTTCTTGATTCGTTTGAAGTAATCAAAAAAGAGCCAAAACGAACTGGACTCTGATAGTTGGTTCGTAGGATGAAATAGACGGGCAACACAATTGTCGTCGAACGAAGACAAATCTGAAATAGCTCTTTTCAAGTGAATCCGAGCGAGGACGACCCAAAAAGTCTTCATTACCTATTGTCAAGAAAGATATTAGCCACCGGATCGACAATCATTCGAAGCTGCCAGCCGGTCATCGCTGCTGTCGTCCATTGTGCCATGTGAAATCCCAGTTCGTATGCACCCACAACTGATTCGCATGTCGAGTTCTAAACAAGGAAGGCTTGGTTTTGAAGAGCATAGGCAAAAGGGTGTTGTTCAAAGAAAACATTAGGGTTGCATTTACTCGGGTTGTGAGTTATATCACTTAAGCACAACCACCACGGACATAACCTAAAGCCTCATCCTACTAGGCTTTAGGTTAGGATAATGTAAGGATAAAGGTTGAAGGAGAATCTGCTACTCTTTGTTGAATGTCAAAGGGCAAAATGATGGTTAAACTCAATCAAAACAAATTTGCGTGTAACGTAGGTTATGGGAAAAGTCACGTAGCACTAAAGTAGGGTAAGGTTTCTCACCTCAAGCAGTTCACAATTGAGATCATCAATTTGCGTCTTAAGAACGAGCGGGATGGAAACGAAACCAGCCATGACGACACAGGAGATGGCAAATGCGAACACATTCAATGCCATTCTGACGATCGACATCAGATGCTGATTAACTTCGCCTGTAATTCCTCAAACCTTTGGAAGGCGACGTTCGAAGGTAATAAGGATCAGCTAGCCGGCTAGGCACGTGCATACTTCACTGAAGAAACTTGGAGCAAGGAATCCCATCCAATCAATAAATATATTCTTCATAGGCAGCTCACCTCTGGATCGTCGTACTCGCCATAGGTAGACGATTATAAATATGTAGGATGAAGTACCAATTACCAAAGCTATCAGAACAATAACTAAATTCGAAATGGACAGCGCGAAATCCTCTGTACTGACTGACCACTGTAATTAGTGTTGAGGGGAAATAGCAAAGAAGCTCATATAAAGTGTGAATTAAAGGACTCACCTGAATAAGATCGGTCCCGGAGTTGAAAATGTTGAAGGCATTATTCGATGAAATGCAAACAGCAACGATCGCATACGCTAACCCAATCAGCCACACAACACATCCAATGATGACTGAAAAAGAAGTCGGTAATGCTGCTTTCATAGTCCGCGATTTGGCCCGCGAGCGAGCGAACGACGAGGGACTACTCGTCCGATGATGGTATCGACCAAGACTCAGTTTGAAACAAGGAGCAAACGCAGCCCCGTTGCCCGCTCGCTCGCTCGCTCGCTGGCCAAATCGCGGACTATGAAAGCAGCCTGTGGTATTCCCTCTGAACAGGCAACTGTCACGGAGGGCTCACTCTTCCGCGCGAATGTGATGCTTATGCCGCGTGCGAGAAGTTCACGTTAACGCAGTCATCAGGGAATGGTCGGGTCCGGGAACTTCTCCCCTAACACGGCGTCGCACACGCCGCACCCGCCGCCTATCTCAGGATTGCGATGAAAGATTGGAGCGCGCAATTTGNAATCAAGTCTAATAAACATGAAAACTAAAAAGAAACAGAAGAAAAAAACGATAAAATCCAATGAAAAAGTAAGCCAGTCAAGGAAAAATATCGCGTCCTATCGATTTTCGGGAGGCGGGGTGAGTACGGTAATTGCAGTGACATTTGCCGCATGCCGCAAGGGAGAATGCCGCGATAGGGGAGAAGTTCCGTTAGCCGGGAATGGTCCCTTCTGCTGTGGCATAGGTAGGTGGATTTGCACATAGGAATAAAGCGGATATTGGCGCGAGAAAATGGAAGTGGCGATTCTGGACAATTCAATGATTGTACAAATGTTTCTTGATGTCAGAGCACCTACATGCACCTCTTTCTTCTCCTTAGGGAAACGGACAGTAGGAACGGTTTTGTGCAACGGAACGCTGCACGCGGCTGTCGCGGACCATTTGCCTCGTTATAAGAGTTAGCGGTCTCCATCAACTCAATCGCTATGCGAATATTACTTACGGCATGATTCTACTGTTAGTTATTTTGTTCCTGAATTTCTCATTTGCTACTCATTCTGCTACATTCCTTCGCGTGCGGCGCCTCTCTGACCGCGAGGCGACAATATCGTCCCTATTGCACCCCAGCCCTTTTCCTCGTTTCCTTTCTACTTTGACTTCAGCTAATATAATGAATTACCTGACCCCATCCACGACGAACGTGCTCCATTTTGAACGATAGCAGTGTCTACGAGGTCGCAAAAACACGTCCTTTCTTGGCAGGGCCGGACGCTATACATTTTTGAACCGTTATTGCACCCTCTACGTCGTTTTTCTATCCGACCATACTCCATGAAGTCTTCTCAATAGCCAAAAATTTTTCCGAAAAAAAAAAAACATTTAGTGCTTCCTTGTTAAAATTGTCCTTCTGACCCAAAAACAGACGCTTTTATTGGGATGCTGCGCCAATTTCACAATTCATCAAACGGTAAAGGTTGTGCATAGTACTAATACTTTGTGGAAATAGTGAGGTTCTAACGAAAAAGAGTATCCGGATGACAAGGAGCGGTTTGCAACGCTCCGCCTCCGAGACAGTTGCCTCAGGAACTTATCGTCTCACTTGACTCGTTCTTATAAGGCATGCCTTTGCAGCATGTCTACTACGCTGGCTACTTTCATGCCTCTTTGAATTAATAGCTAGGCAATTCATCATCTCAGTGGTAGGTCGCATTCTTCCCCAGTCCCAGTATGAGGTTGGCTCCCCGCTGGGTGGCAGGTGCTCTTGGACGGACATCAATCAGCAAACGAAGAAGCGGATATGCGAGCATATCAACGTGCCACAGAATCGAAGTTAAAACAACTCGTTCTCCAAGGATGATTCGGGCGATAGGCACGAGAGCTGGTCATCCGCGCGTTCACCCTTCCAACCTCCCGACCTTAGTGGCCGAACTGGGAACCACGGGCATCTATTGGGTTGCCAAATCGCAGATCATCATCGTGGCCCGAGATTTATGCACTTCAACATCTGATCAATGTCAAATGACGACATACGCCGATAAAAGTCGTAAAAATGTGCTCGAACGGCGCGAAACTACGCGCTGGTGTTGAACTGTAATAACTTCTTCACGATAAGGGGACATAAAAGTGGATCGATCGGTTCTGCCAGCAAAATTTAGCCATTGATCAGTCATCAGAAAACTATTCGAACAATTCAGTAAAAGGACTTACTGGTTCGCTTCGATGTGATCTTCACTCGATAGATGATTGGATGGCGAACAGCGAGAAACATGAACAGGGCCAGCACCGAATAACAGCCAGCTGAAGCCCAAAAGTTCAACGTCAACAACATAGTAAACATGGTCCGTCCATGGGGAATCAAGTAGTCCAGTTCCTCCAACGTCATGTTTTGATACTGCTGAAAAAAAAAACTTTCATTTTAGAACTGAGCACAAAAAATCGAATTTTCCAGAAAAATTCGAAAGAAGGCCTGAGGCCTGTTTTTTTCCTTTGGTATCACTCGAGCTGGTTTTTCCTCTTGATGGGCTTTTATTTTTATTTTAACTCAATATGGCGTGTGAGCTGGATAAAACCGAAACTATGTGTGGAGAAATAGGAGTTCTTGATTTTGTGAGGCCAATGCTGGGTCAGGTAAGCCTTCAAGTAAACTATGCTCACGCTTCCGATGAGTAAATAAAATGAGTCTCACAAGGTACGCGAGTATGGACTTCCGTCCATAACTAGCCAACCTTGGGAGACTTTCGAATCGGGTACTGCAGCGGAATAACAGCAGTTAACAAAAAATGGAACGCCTCTTTATGAACGCCTACTCATTCCGAGTTAAAAGGTAGGTACTGCTTACCTTTGGGTAAAGCCTGGGATCAGGTATTTGATCGAGCCGATGGAGTGAGACAAAGATCAGCGTCAGAACTGATGTAAGAACATCCGTAAACGACCTATTCAACAGCAACGAATACCCCTGTAATGATTTCCATGGAACAAAAATGGGAATTCAAAAAAATCATGTAACCTCAAGAAACTCACCTTCAATGGCAACACTTTGTCCCTTATCCCTTTTATGGTTAAATAAATAAATATCCCGTTAACTATGAGACCAATCAAAGAGAGAACAATGGTAAGCACAGGGATGACAGAATCGACGAGCTGCAAAGTTGGTATTTCATCGAAAAATAAAAAAGTAGCGTAATAAAAATAAAAAGAAAACAAAAATTTATAGCTATCTACAAAATTAAGAATTTACTAGTTAAAAATAAGAAAAAAAGATAAAATGAACCAAATTTATAGTCTGAAAAAGCGAGACAGGCTTATTCACCTATCATCTAAACCTGTTTGGTAATTAACTAATCGATAAATCTGCAAGTTTTCAAATGATTCACAATGAATGGGGGATAATTGACAATATGAAATTTTAACCAAATTTGCAATTCGGAAAAGAAATTGTAGATGAAGATGAAATTCTAGGGAACTTTGATTTCAGTAAAATAAGATATAAAACATTCAGCAAAAAATAAAAAGTAGCCAGTATCAAAAAAAGAGTAGAATTTGGAAAAAGTTCGAATCCAAATGATTTGAAACACAAAATAAGCAACAATATGTTTCTCTCGGGAAATTCAATTTTTTCCGTAAACTTTGGAAAGGCTGTCCCAGCTGCATGAATGTGAAGGTTGTTCTTCACATTCATGCATCTCGAATTGCTTAGACAAATGCAACTGTTGAATTGTTAATCTTAAAAATGGTTTTGTGTGCCCCCTCCGATGGAAGTTATACCGATCATTCCAGAAATTTTGGAATATTTTTAGGGACTTTGCCAAGAATATTTAAATCAAGTAGGATCACTGAAAATATAACAAGTGCCACCTCATTACCGTCAAAAATCCCGCCTAATCCTCTTATGAAAACCCGAAATAATCCTTTAGTAAGTGTTCTTATCAGTTGATTAATTATAGATAAGGACGCCCGGTTAACGGCTTCTGTGCGAGTCGCACACGAAGCCGTCTTCCGAGCGATTCAAGGTCTTGACAAAGAATATTCGTTTTATTTTGCGCACTCATTTCTTCCTACAGCTGCTCATTCCTGAAGTTAGCGTATGAGCGATGAGCAGCAACCTACCTCGAATTTAGCTTTGTCATAGTTGAAAATAGTGATCGAGTCGTCATAGGAGCAGTTCAGGTACTGAGTGATGTTGTCGATGTCGGGGGAGGTGTCGGCATGCGATGAGATCACCATCGTCGTCTCCCCCGCTGTAGGCCCCGTCGGGTCGTCGTGGCAAATACTCTGCTCGCGTTATCGCTAAAAACAATGGCAGTAAGCGTTTCCATAACGGACATTCCTGGTTGCTGATAGGGTCGCTTCGGCCTAACGACGAAGGAGATGACGGGTGATTATTTCGGGTCATTCTTAGGCCTTCTTACATGCGAGATCCTCTTGAAGAAGCACGAAGTTATCCTCACGGGCCATCAGATTGTGCAAATGAGAGAGCTAGATCCCTCACTCGAAAATTTGTTGTTTTGCCTGACGATGTCATAAGAAAGTCCATCAGGATACCAAGGTGCGGTAAATACACCCACAGGGCCATCTCTTGTGCAGTTTCGCAGAATGCCTCGCCAGCCTCTGGCCCTGTTTCCGAGGCAGTCACATCATGGAATTCGCGAAGAAACTGATGATAGGCCGGCTCACGATTTGACATTACTTAGCCAATTTTTTTGGAAGAGTTGACCCTGTTTCGGAACGTCCGATCAAAAAGGTTAATTTCGAGGCTCGCTGCAGGTACTAGATGAGGTGAGCTTCTCTGGAGTTATACAGCAGTAGGACACGGCAAAACGAAAGGACATTAACAGAGTCGTAAATTTTTTAGATACCAGGAGACGTCATCCGTCGCGACCACTACGACTGCTCAAGGGTCCCATTGTTCAGGCCTGAGCTCAATGTTATCCGTTCCAATAACGTAAAACTGCCTGCCCAAAAGCAAATGCACCTATACGCGCTCATGTGAAAAAACGTGCCGAGTTGTTGAGAAATTAATTAACTTCGAAGTATCTGTCAAAGAAATGAGAGCGATGACTCTCTATGGTTGTCATCTTTTGCCGAATAACATTCAAAAGTGGGGAGGGGTAAGGGAGAAGCGAACCGTAATGGAAAGACTCCATACAGAGACCACTGGCGCACCACCTAGAAGGATTCGGTAGCAGACCACTGTCGTATTCAACAGATTAAAACGGAATTTCTCCTGGAATATCTCCATCAATGGACAGCATTGGGTGGGTCGAAAATGAACCCTATTCTGTCGAAACAAAGCTCTCTTAACAAACTTGACTGAATAAAGCAAAACCAGTCTGTCGGCACTGTTCTTGAACAATTCCAATCTGATTGTTTCATAGACATTGGCAGGGCCTGGAGTACGGGTACGGCTTTATTAATTCGCTCGAATTTGATACTTATTTGCACTTTCGGTCCTACAGTGGATGCAAAGCAGTTCAAGAGGCCTACACTGTTTCTGAGAGCCTAAGTCGAACCTGGAAGCTCTCAGCAGCACCGCGTCAGTCTTGATTGAACCCTTTGGGGAACCTCCAGTGGAGAAGGCAAGGAATCCAACATTCCCACGTCTTCTGCTATTGATCCTATTTCTGATAATCGTGATGAACAAATTCTCGTGGAGGAGGGGGTAGGCCCATTTTTAGTTGATTCCACTGGGATGAACGGTTGCGAGGAGAAGCCACGCAATCGCACCTTACTCGCTAGAGCTTTACGAATAGGTAAAGAACCTCAAACTCTCGACTCAACTACTGCCAGCACGCCATATGTGAGTTCATTCGACCTTACTGAAGTGAATTTGAGCTTCTCACAAGTCGGCCGAAACGTATTGTAATTGGCAGTGTACTTCTTCAACTGTTTCAGTCGAATCAGTATGGTTTTCTCGCGGTTCCACTTAAGACTACGAACGAGGTCGACCTGGTGAAACCACTGACGACATTCTTCAGCACACTATTTAAAGGATCTTCTCCAAATGTTCACGTACTGAAAGAAGCCATTGAGGTAGCATCCTTGAGTGAACGGCTCCGACTTGTGCGCTCTGAACGTTCTTCTAGTCGTTCAACCGGCTTCGATCAAGAGCATGCTGTCAAACAACCCAGAACAACCACTCACTGGCGAACTCACTGGCAGAGTGAGTAACTACCCTTTTCTTAACCACCCACATCATTCGTTGGAGGTAGGCCAACTCGGCTACATTAGAAATGAGTTTCGATTCCGTATACGAGAACGAGAACGGTTGTCGACGACCAATTCTGTGTCCTTAGTAGGGTTACCAAAAATGACCAGTTCGAGACCTTTTTGAAGGCTCAGAATCTCGAAAGCGATTTTCGGCTACAACTGAAAGATAGCTGTTGGTAGATGGCCGACCATATGTTTGTAAAATGTGAAGGATTTTGCCATAGCATTCAGAAAAGTACCCAGTCATGCTAGCGATCCCTTCAACAGCGTTCAAGCTTGACCTCATACGATCGATATCTATGGTTATCACCTGAGATGGGCCTACACATTTTGCTGTCTTTTCCGGCAGCCTCGCGATAATAAGGACTAATCAATCAATACCGCATGGCAAAATATGATAGAGAATGCCTTCATGATCATTGTATGGGCGAAACTCTTGCAAGCTCAATACCCACCATAGTATTGGGTATCGCTATCTACACCTTCATGTGACTATTGATTTTACGCGTGTACGCGCGCATTGTAATGAACCCAAGTCTATAGTGTTCACAAATTGTTCGAAATTGTTCCAGGTATTATGATCAATTAACAGTTTTTGAAAGGAAACTCGAACACTCGACAGCTCAGCACCTCGAAGGATTTAAGTGGAATGATGCTTTCGAAACGGGCAAATCATTTTTTGGCAAGGTAAAAACCAAGACATCAGAGTTCACTGCAAAAGAAACGGAGCTTCTAGACTTTGTCGAGCCCGAACTATTGTCTAGCACTGAGCCTGGCCATTTTCAGAAAATCCTGACGTATGTCTACTAATTCAATCCTGACGTTTTTCAGACGCAAAACTCCATCGCGGACACCTTTCTCGAACGAGCTGCAGTACTGTTCAATTACGGTGCCGCTCTTTCTGAAGCTGCTGCATCCCAGACGTTCCTCACAGATGGCGAGACGAAAACGGCTGCCAAACTCTTTCAACAAAGTGCCGGTACGCATAAGCGACTGCCGATTTGACGCGTTCATAGTTAACGCAGTTACTGTAGATAGAAAGGAAGCGTCTGAGAGAGACAGAAAAGTTTCAATGGAAAGATACCATTTCGGCCATCAATCTCTCTTTGATTGAATCCTATCATTTTATCGATTACAGGAGTGTTTGCTCATTTGCGAGATTTAATGCAACTGTCGATGCCAAAAGGCTTCACAACGGACCTCGTACCGAGCACGTTGACGGCATTGTCAAGTATAATGCTTGCCCAAGCTCAGGAATCCTTCTATAGGAAGGCGTATGCAGGTGAAACAAACTTTTGGGAGTTGCACCCATGGAAACATCACTACTTGACCATGATGAATCTATAAAAATTGCTCCTAATAAACAAAACATTTCCACATGTTTCAGAGAAGATGAATCCATCGGCACTCGTCAAGATTGCGGCCCAAACAGGAGACCTCTACTCAGAAGCTAGCAAATTAATGGACATCTCGAAAGGTTACTGGAAAAAGGTTAGAATTTCAGCTTACAGATTTCTTGCCTGGGTTACGGGCTATACTATCTTCTCTGGAAGAGTCTGTAGAGAATAATGAAAACCTTCATTACGCTGGTCAACTTTTTCCATAAGCTCCTATACCTTAGCCCGTCTACTAGAACAAATTCATTGAGATGGATATTGATTTTGAAAGCGTATAATCGATATTCATTTGCAACGCATGTACTACATACATACTATCGGTGGTGGGAGGGTTTGAATGTTGAAAGCAGCTCGCACTTTACAATTCACCCGTTGTTTGTATGTATATTGATTAGACTCCTCCGAGTTTCCCATTGCACACAACTCGTTTGACATTCAGGACTGGTTAAACGTCGTTTCGGGTAAAGCGTTTGGATTCCAAGCGATAGCCGAACTGCATCAAGCGCAGGTAACTCGCTATCAATTGGAAATCCCACGGGGCCTGGATTCTTCAAGGGTTCGCATTGGATTTCTTCAGGTCAACTGGGAACGTCACGAAGTCGGCGAACGTTTGAGCCGACTGAAACATGCCTTCGAACTCGTGGAAAAGATGAAAAGACGACTACAACCGACCTGTTTCCGGGAACAAATCTCGGAAATCGAAAATGCCTACAAATCCTCGACAAGTGATAATCGTCTCATTGTTAGTTGATCGGTTCCCCTCCTTAATATGTATAGGGGCCCATGATTTTTAGGGCTTTTTTTACCCTCATCTCTAGTTTTCCACTTAGATTCCTAAATAATCAGTCTGATTGTGAGATAATGCTGCGCTACTCTCCCCACTACTTGACCCTTGTTGGCTAGAGCTTCTCGCTGTCCAACACCACGCTGTCTAGCTTGATGAACCTCTATTGCAGTACCACGAACGAATTCCTGATTATTTCACTCTTGCCGCACTTCCACGAGCTGTATTGGCGAAGCTGACCCCAGTGGAGAAACCGCTTTGCCCCACTTTCAAAGGTTTGCTTTTCACAAATGAATATTTTCCAGAGGGGCTGTGGCGAATAATTGGCAGATCGTTTTCACTAACCTCATTCCAGACGTTTTTGCTGCGGTGGTTCCTGAAACGACGATGGCAGCGATGAAGAAGTTCGAGCAGATGAAGGCCGAGCAACTCCAGAAGTTGAAAAATCGTCTTTCCGAACAGACGGAATTGATGGATTGGTTAGTATTCCAGCCCTGAAAGCGAATGGGCCATTAGAGAAACCAATCAGTGATGGTCAATTCCTTTCAAACTCCCAGTTATCCGCTTGGGTTATGGGTTACATCACTATGACATGAAGTCGCAACAATCTTATAGTAGCAACCAATCGGAGCTTCCCCAACCAAAAAGTAAAAAATTTCCGAAAAAAAGATTTCATCAACCACAAAAAAATCAAATGTTAAGCATTGTGGCATCATTAAATGCTCCAGATGTGATACCGGAGGAGGTGAAGCGGAGTTCGTCAGAGGTAGTGATGTCGTAAAAGAGCTCAATAGATTGATCTTATTGATTGCACATATCGATTGAACAGGTGAAAGAAGCAGGTGGAGCAGCAAATATGCGTAGGAAATTGAACGATTTAACTGTGTCACGTAAACGGAACAGCGACATGTTGGCCGAAGTAAGTTGTTGGATTGTCGTTCTCCAACATTTCAGCTGCTCAATACCCACCTGGGACTGGCATGTGAAGGAACTTGGGTGACATTGAAACGACAGAAATACGAAAGATAGGCAGGCTAAACAGCTCAGCTATCTGTTCCCAGGTGCATTCGCCCAATTTAGACTGTGATCCGAACAAAATGACCATCTCCTCAAAATCGGAAACTACCAGATTTTCCGAAACACAGCTCTGAGCCTCAGTCTCAGAAGATGACCCGATGGAAGTCCCTAGATGACGTGATGTCTGAAATAGCATAGTTAAATTGGAACATGGCGCATCCTCTCGTTTGATAAATAGCAGCTCAAACCAATCCAAATCGGTTCAGATCGATCGTATACTAGTTGATGAGAATCGCAGTGACATGGATCTTCGTCGACAGCTTCGATCGGATCGAGTAAGAATCACCAGCGAAGAACTCGTAGGGCCATTCGTTCAAGTGAGGGCTCATCTTCGTTTCAGTACTGGTTCAAGCGCTTGGGATCTTATTGCAGTTAATTATTTCAGGAAATCTCGAAGCATCTGGATGATCTGAAAGAAGCGTCTGAAGTCGACAAAGTGCTTCAAAATCGATTCGACTCGAATGAAAAAGCCATTGATATGCTTAGTAAAAGCGAGGTAAATATCCGTATATTGACTCTGTTTATGCAGTGCAATGGGGAAACAACCTGGCTCTGACCTCTCACAATGAGCTCTTCTCAAATTCCATTTATTGATCACGTACCAACTTCACGTTGTGAATTCCACTTTCATTTTTGTGTGAGATTCTTCCTACCTGAACTCACAGTTCAAGTGGCCCGTGCTGGATCATTTTCCCTCAGGAACAAATTTGGGCCACAGCCACATATCTCATTCCGATGTTGCTAGGACATCAAAAATCCTGTACAGCAAAAATATGATTTTTGATTTGCGATCTATTGAAACATCGCATCAGCTCACCAGCAACACTTTTGCATGTGGCAAGGGTAGGGAATGAATATTCTGACACCATACCTTCATAAAATCATTTCGGATTCCTTCTACAGCAAGAGCCGTGAACGGTCGAACCGATTGAATATGATCTATGACGGGGTTCCTCCCCTTTCCACATTTTCAACCAATCGACTGGACAGCTGCAGCTGGCTCAAGCCCCGTTCCCTCTGAGTATGAGTGAATGGGGGAACTTTCTTTGAGAAGTACATTAGGCAAGGTATCGACAGAGATCCCTTGAGAACAAAATTAACCATATGAAGGTAATTGCACTTTTCCGGTACTATGGGGGAGCCACATTGGTGCAATGGTTCGAGTAGTGTAGGTTCCGGCTGTTCCACTTTTGGAAAATTCTCCCTAATGCAAGAACGAATTTTCGCCAACTGTGAGGAGCCTCATCACCTCTTTGTCTAGGTTTCAGTTTCTAGCGGACTCTTGTAAAAAACCTGGCCCCACTGACACTCCACCTCCGCCCTAACCGTCTTTCCAATGAAATGCTGTGCCTCTTCCTTTCCTCCTTACTGAGAAGCGCCTGAGTTAACTGGACTAGAGTATCAGGATTTACTATGAGCTTTTATCTTCGTAGTTCAACCCAAAAATTGAGGAAGACTCACTCAGTTATCGCAACACAGAAGAAAGCAACAACACAAAAAGAAATTGAACAGGCCACATGGCTGAGAGTCTGGCGACAAATGTACTTCATAAATACAGGTTATAGAAAAAGGGAAATCAAGCAGTTGACTCTCAATCTCATTATGAAGTCAATGAATGGAAGCATGGAAGAGAAAGCGGGCGGTCGATAGGGAGCCCTTGTGGCGGTTTGGGCAGGTTTACGAGCTAACCGACCGGTAGGTCGGTGGTGTTCCTGGAAGTGATCTACATTTTAACGATCGCTGACATTCTTCACTCAAGTCGTTCATTTTTTTTTCTTTCCATTTCCATCTCCATCATCATTCTGTCCAACTTCTCTCATCACCTACCTCCTCATCATCTCCTTCTACAATCTATCACGTTCTTGTACTTCTGGAATGCCAGCATCTTCCCAACATTCTCCTCTTTCGCTTTCAAGCAGGAACTGACTGACTAAGGATCGTGATGATTTCGATTTTTCAACTTTATTGACAACTTTAGAGAGAGCTCCGGTCACTTATACCGGTTCCTCCGTCTCAGCTTTCGAAAAAGGCTTCTGAAACGACTAGCACTCTACTGAAGTTACTGGATAGAGCCAAGATGATCAAACACGAGAGAGAAGATATCGTCAAGGTGAATCTTGCTTGAGAATTCCCTCACTATAAGGATAACTGGAATCGAGCAGGGGTTGAAAAAGTGCGATACCTTATTCACCGCTATGGGACCGTATGCTACCAAACCGGCAGCACTTTCCATCTATCTGAGATCTGCTTAATGGGTAGGTGGCCGCTTGAATTGTGGACGGTATCAGCTCACACCCAAATAATTTCCACGAAAAAAGATTTTTGTATTCGTGAGCGTTTTTTCGGGACTCGAACAGCTGACTTACATGAAACAATTCAGGTAATCCTTTCCAAACTGGCAACTCCCATTGAAGCTGCCGAGAAGGCGGAAATGAATGACATTCTAAACATCAACGACGAGGACTACATAACGAAGCATGTAGGAAAGGTATGTTGTGTTGCCAATCAGGGTATGCACGCTCAGGCCCCGCTATACTCTGCGGGAGGAAGCGAACGTCGCGAACGATGGTTACCATTCCCGTGAGCAGCGCGCAGAACCTGTCGCAAACAGCCCACAGGTGCATCGACAAATGTTTAAATGGTCATATGAGCAGTGATAATTGTGAATATGGATCGCCCGAGTGTGAAGCTATAACTTTGGGATTGATCCTGAGAGAATACGGCATGAGCCCAGAATTTGATCGAAGTAGGCAACGAATAACGTTGGAGATCTAGAATTGAAATCACATGACTCATCAATATTTACTGTAAACATTATTACCATTTCATATTAACTATCCCCTAAAATCCCATCCTGATCGACAATACGATACCTGCCTGAAACAAAGAAGAACACTCAATGACATACTGATTACATGCATAAATGAAATCATACACTTAATACACAATGTAGATAAATATACCAGTCACATATATGCTATATTACATGTAGTAACAGCATCCAGGATGGATTCATTCCTATAGAGATCATCTAGTTATGTACTTCTACTAATTGACGCCGGAAGCTGCGTTTATACTTGGCGACTTTGCGTCGGGTGCAATCATCTACGGTGCCGAAACAGTGTGGAATGACCAAAGATGACAAAAAGGCACAACAGCTCAATCACAGTGTGATAATCTGAATTCCAAAAGTAGATGAAGCGATTTCGATGAGAATTTCCTCGACGGCGCTGATGGTTTGGACCTGAAAATTGATGACAATCAGAATCTTTCCGTAGTAGTCTTCGTAGGCTTAGAAATACCATCTATTCGTAATGCGGTAGAATCGTTCTATTGCACAACAATCCAAGCTGGAATATCTCCACAACTGGAAAAAATACAGCTTTCTCTAAGTTTGATGAGGATGAGAGGTTTCTCACCCATCGTGGGGTCGCGACGCGTTTTTGAAGTAAAGTATGTCTTTCGGTGGCTATTTCGGTTGTGTTCTGGTCCCCACCTAATCCACCCAGTAGACTGGTTGGGGACTAAAATACAACTAGTTTTGCTAGAGAATAATGATGAACTTCACGGACTGATAAAAGCAGTGTTTTGAGAAGGAAACAGTTAAAAGAAAGCGTTTCTTTTTGACGATGAATAAATTTGCGCGGAGGCGATCAAGTTTTTGGCTTTCTACTGATATTTGGACATCTTCCTACAACATCCTATTTGTCAGCAGTTTCCTTTTATTCAGAGTTGCCAACCTTTGGAGGAGCTAGTCAATTCGAGTCTCGAAAAGCAAGAATGTTTGTTACGAGACATTGAAGTGAGTCCTTTCTTTGTGGCCATCGCTCAAGGAACGAAGGTACGGTACGAATCCAGATTTTCACCGTATCCAACTGCTTCTTCATAGCGATACTACCGAAATGGGATATTTCACGACATTTATGAGCATAGTTCCTGAAGCGTTTCGCATATCGAATATTTATTCAAAAAATTTGGTCACTCATAAATCTATACTATCTATTATATTGCTTAGAAACCGCTCGACTGAGGTCTCCATAGAGGATCGCTGGCGTGATGCAAAACCTCCAGCTATCAATTTTTTCAAAGGACTTTTGAATCGCCCATGAAACACAAAAAGTAGTCCCATGATTGAAAGGGGATTTTCTGTCAGAAATCACACATACATAACTCACTGAATGATTGCACTTCCATTTTTGGACCATTTTGAAGAACTCGTGGCTATTCCGTAAAAGGCCCTGTTCATCTCGGAATTCTGCTTCGACAGCTCTGAACTTCTTGCAAGTTGCAGAATGTTGGGCACATCCACCCACAACTGGAGTTGAGAACCCGAGGCTAACCGTGAGGTACCCAACACTTTGCTATCAAACAGTCTTCGTCTTTCTAGAGACCCCATGGGCGGATAGCCACTGTCGTCTTCGCCCTATGCTGTTCCACTTGGGAAATGAGTTTTATGTGGGCTAAGTGCCTTGGTTCGGGACCACAATGGACAGCCTGTGGGAGAGACACAGCAGGCACTCACCACGACCCCCAGTAGTGTAAGGGGACCCCACCCCGGTCACCCTGCACCGATCCTCAGCGGCACATCGAACTCCTCGATGCTGGCAGCACGAATATGAGCTCCATCATTTCATTACAGAAATGGAGTGCTCGGTTTTCATTTGGAAATGACTCGGAAACCTCGTCTCAACGAAGAAAAATGCTGCGATCACTGCAACTCGGTTATGAAGCCTTCAAAGAGATCCAACAAAAGCTGGATGATAGAATCAAGGTCGGGAGAAATTATCGAGTATTTATAAGCACTTCTGTCCGGGTATCATTCAAAAAGGGATCAGAAATATTTTTCGAAGCTTATTTCCCGTCCAAAGTGTTCCTGCATAGTTCAAAGCGCTCGCAAAATTTCCTGATCTATGTAGGCGACCTAAGCCACTTCTATGAAGAGAAAGGAGGAGGGACCACTGAATCGAAACGGACCTATCCCAACAACGATCCACCATTTCCATGTTCGGGGCCTCGTGCAATGAAAGCCTCAGGCCATGAAGACAGCATTTAACCTGCCGCACTTTTCAGTTCTACAACAATCAAGCAGCAGCACTTCGACGCCTCCAAGTGAAAGTAAACGACTTTGCTTTTGCACGCCAGACAGAGAAGGAGGAACTGCTCCGTGGACGTCGAATTTTCGAATCATCCAGAAGAGGTGGGTAGACTTCACTAGTACCGAATTTAGTATTGGAGGCAAAACTTGTCTATCTGTTTTGGCCATCTTCGGCTGTGATGAGGTCCGATTCCGTTCAGGTGCTGAACTCTCGTTACTCGCATCAGCGCCGTCGTTGCAACCTCAACAATTCAACCCCCCACCTTTCTACCCTGCACCGACATTTGTTCAAGGTTAGCGCTTTTTTTTTTAACTATTTCTCGTCCAAGAAGTTTTTTAAGTTCCGTTTGCCCTGTGTGATTAGTTACGACTTCTCTTCATAAAACCTTTTAAGGAGCTGCTTATACTAGCGGCATGGCACCCCCACCTCTACTACCTGCACAGCCGCAATATGCCTATCCACAGTATCCCTATTACGGTATTTTGTACAATACATCTTCCTCAAGTAGAAATGAGATCCTTCATCTAAGAAAGGTCTAAATTTCAGGAGCAACCCAACCGACCCTACAACCTGCTTACGACTACAGTATGCAGTCAGCAACGACAACTACAACATCATCTGGCCCTAACCCTCAAAACTGTCCCACATACCCCGCTGAGCCTTGGAATCCTAACTAGACCTAACTCGATGAAAAATCAAGAGAAAAGTTTTTTGGTTACTCGATTATTTTATCATGATCTGGTAGCAAGGAAAGCCAGAAACTCATTACTAGAACTGTCTTCAATTCAAATGGCCCTTCAATGTTCACGATTACTGCCAAAAATTGTGATAAAACGATCAATTTAAATAAAGGGTCCACCACACACGACACGGATGAGAATCCTAGCTCTTACTGTTTACATCAAGTAATTTCATTCAGAAAAATATAGCAGCACTTGAGGAGTCGGGCTTGATGCCGAGCAGTCTGGAATTTGTCCAAGTTAGAAAGTGGACGGGATGTGCGCTGAAGTGGGCGATGCCCATGAGCTCAATTCGGTCCCATAATAGTCTAGAAACTGGAAAAAGTGAGCTATTCTAGGTCATGCATTCCTGCAGACGATTCAGGAAGTTTGCGAGCAGGGGACTGGATGCGCTACTGAGTCATAAGCGCGTCAAAATAAAGCTCAATTTAAAAAGTGTAAAAAAGTAAAGTTTAAAGTAGAGTTCCTTACAGTAATAAATATTGGGATTAAATGTATGAGGTCGAGCGCATCCTGAGCCCAGCATATCTTGAACATTTGAACACACTGAAGACCAACGGGGCAATCTCCAGTACGGAGTACACTATTTGTGAACCCGTCTCACCTCCAAATGAAAACATGGATGAAAAATCCTAAAGGCATAATACCATATTTAGAGCTATCATGTCATGAAAATGCCTAGTTAGGGCGTCATAAAGGCTCAAAGATTGTCTCGTGTGTATCCTCGGACGAGTTTCACCACCATTGTAGAGGCTGCCACGAACCACAAAGGAACCCGTGTAGGAAGTTCAAACAACTTGTGATGACCCATGGCGACAGTGAAAGGCAGTTCTGTGCAGTTCTGGCTTGATGTAGTCAGCTGTTTGCGCAATTGCAACGACTGAAATCTCGTCCGAACACCCCTTCTATGTTACTCTCGTCATGGCAATCTCGTCCAACCTCTATTTTCCCTACTTTTAAGGAGCCTTATTTTTGTCAAAATCGGCGTCAATTTACTCGCTTTCTTCCCTACAAATGAACTATTCCCAACCTATACTTCCGCTTTTCGACTTAAAAGGGGTACCTCATAATTATCGTGAACTGTGCCTTTAAGGGGGCTTTATAGTGGTCATCCGAATTCTAGGGACAAAGTGCTGGATGGTGAGCGAATTACCGAGTCCGGAAATTTTACTCGGTTGCTCACCTGACCGGTTCTTTTCTGAGAAAGTTTCAAATTTCTGATGCACAAAAATTTTGATAGCTCACATCAACCATGATGATAGATAGTGTCATTTTCTTCCATGTTTGTTTATTTACGGTAATTCAATGTGAAAGGCATGGCTGCTTTCATAGTCCACGATTTGGCGAGCGAACCAGTCGCGCCAAATCGTGGACTGTGAAAGCAGCCACTGCTCAACATATTGCGAGGAGTTTCTCCAAACGATGTTGAAAAAAAACTGCTCAAACGACTTTTCGACTTGTTCACGCAAAAGGTAAAGGAAAAAGGAGAAGATAGTACAAGTTAAATCAATCAGGAATGCGCCACGCATCAACTTCCGTTCGAAATTTGGATGGGTCTTTGCTACAGTCAGTGACTTCTAAAAGTCGTTATGCTCTTAGTCATGCTTAAGTAAAGGGTGAAAAAGGCCTACAAGTATGATAAAATCACATGCACTCATCAATTTCACAATCAGTTCTATAGAGCTCCTTTTTTGCCATCAGTGTTTAGTTTGCTCAAGAAGGTCCCATTTCAAAAGAAGAGACGGACACAAACTGACCATCTTTCGCCCTGTTTTTGGTCCCTTCCCCTCGATTTCTTTTATCCTAGTACGGTAGTCAAGTTGCTTTTATTTACCATTTGGCATTTATTGACGACAATTATATTATAGTGGGCACCGCAATTAAGTTAATCCTAGGGAAGATCTGCTATAGGCTTGGAAAACACGGCCATTTTGAGATATTGGGGGTTAAATTGGAGAAGCGGAAAACAGAGAGCCTCAAACAACAAAACATGTCATAGAACTGAAGGAAAAAGAGAAAAAACAGAGGCGATGCTATAGATCCAATTGGAGAACGAGAGAAGGTCGTTTGAAAAACAGTTTGTAACCATTTAACAATACCGAAGGAGTTCTTAGACAATCTAATGACCACCATTTGGCCGTTGTACCCAGAAGTAGGCGAAATGAGTTTCGTTAGATGGTTACACTGTTCTCGCAGAAAACATGGCTGATCTCAGGGAAATTGATCATAATTAAGGGAATTCTATTTGGAAAGCCGAAAGCTGCATTGCTCAGCTCTGAGGATGGGCTATATACCGTACCCGTCGTGTCTTATTCAGTTAGGGTTTCAATGTGGGAAATGGAATCCCCACGTGAATGTCACAGACTACCATCACTACTCGGGAAATGAGTTCGAACACATTATGTCTCTTCGCTATTTGACAATAATCTTTTTTTTCTTTCGAAGAAACTTTGTTTCTACTCATTTCTTTTGTTCCTTCTGTCTCCTTCTAGAGACACCTACACCATCGTCCATAGTAATTTTATTTCGTTAAAGACATAAAATAAATTTTCTTCGGTTTTGACTTGGTCACCTATTTTTAAAGCGAGGCAAATAAGAAAATATCCATATGTTGTTTCAGGTGATATAAGAAAAGGAAAGGTTCGAATCTCAGACGGTCTACTCACAAAATGATCCGTACCCCTACTATATATACATACATAGACCATATTAGATTAGATGAAAACCATATTAAGCCCCTGATTTTATAAATTTGCCCATAAAATTCGAAAGGTCTGATTTCGTTTTGGTCACATACTACTCCAAGGGTCTTTTTCGTAATTACTGATACTGTCTCTACTTTACAGTAAACTGACAGGAACTCTATGAGAAACTTTGAAAAAGTAATTTTGGCCTTTGAATCTGCAACCAGTCCTTGGGTTGAGCTCGCTGAACTTTTGTCAAATTTCGCGAACGCTGGCCTCCAACAAACCGCTGAACAGGGTCCGATTCTTTTTCCTGTACGGTTACTACCTCAGGGAATGCTAGGATGAAGTAGCTGTCGTCGGAACTTCTGTTCAGATCGATAAATCAATTCTTCGACATAGTTCGATGGTTTTTAGTCAGGAACTTCCAGAGAAGGAAAGAACGGTCACAAACTGTCGGTTTTTTAGGGTATATCCGATAAGATCTGTTCCTCCTCCATCCCTTTCCATTCACGATACCCACATGGTAACCCAATGCCAATTCTACCAGGAACCGTTGCCCACTGTTATTTCCACCGGTGGTGGATGAGTGGCAAAGTTTGTTACATCCAGTTGATAACGACGCTCTTCAGAGTCGACAGTGTTTGTTTCAGGGTGTTCCCGAGACATCACACGTGATGGCTGACGCTCGCGCCACTCTGCCCTTTGTCTTGGGTGGTTTCTTTCTTCATTACAGATGGCAGTCAGCTGGCAGTAATAGCATTCTCAAACGTTTTCTATTCATTTGCTATTGATCGTCAACACTGTTATCAGTACTGATTAATCGGGTATTTCTCTATCGTTCGAAGGCTGAATGTTTTTTTCTTTCGTGATTGCCTGATTCATTCGCATTGCCTGAAAGAGCGTTCCATTCTTGCATCAATTACCCTTTTAAGATGAAAGGAAATTCTGTAAAGGTTCCCAGCGGTGTAAACGTGCGCGTGTTCTGAACGGGAGCCCATGGAATATCGCTGTCGTTGAAATAAGATCTTCATTGAAATGAAACCAACTGCAAGGATTTCTTGACCGTCCCGATAGTGAAAATAACATTTTCTTTCGATTTCAATTTCATCACCCGATGAACTCAAAGTACTATCTAGCGTAAACATCTTCAGCGCAGTGTGCTCTGAAGTGTGTGCCATGATGTCATGGATCCCAGAGAAACGAGCCTTCACAGGGTCTACGAGGAAAGCGTGCTACTCGGTTGGCCTGTCCCTCACTGATGGTCCAAATGTGCTTGCTTTCTGCTGCTCCTTGACATACTACGTACCCTGCTCAATTACTTCTTTATATGAGGATGGCCCTACTGGTCAAACACGACGAACCATCGACTACAATCACATTTTCTGTGCATTGCTACGCGTCCTATGCGTATAATGTGCGTTTTGACTTTGCGCTTCACCTTATCGGTCGTAATCATGCAGCCGCAATTCACAGGATTATTGATTTGCCACAAAGTAATCATTGTCAAGGGCTGCTAGTTCCGCAGTATGGCCTTAGATATTGAGGGTTCTATTGGTTAAATGCGTTATCAACTGGTCATGATCTTGAATAGCAAGGACCGGGCAAGATCGAAAACAATTTCTAAATACAACCGTTGAACGACGAGGAGAAACGTGGCCGAGTCAGTGAGTATACGTTTTTCACTCTCATACTCCACCTTCTTTACTCTTTTTATCCTATCTGTATTCTCTTCTTAAGCTTGAGTTTGGAAATTTGCGAAAAACTGAGTATCGAGAGTAAATGGTGTGAAACAAGTAGGGGCGCAAAATTAAGCAAATGAGCGCGCGTTCGCAACGCGTGTTCATGGAATATTGATGTATTCGCTCTTTTCATCCGAAGTTCGAGTATTTGTATTTTTGAGTGGTCCAGCATTATTAAAAACAAAATTTTCCATTCGATAAGGCCGGAGAGCTCGTCTCCACAGTGAGCATGTGAAAGAAAAACCGAAAGTCCAAAACAAAAGAAAAACGAGCGTACGTTAATGAAATTACACAAATTTACATCTCCTCAACTGATCTAGCAAATAACGATAGGGAGGGTATCGTGTTTTTTGCGTCTTTTTTTCAATTTTTTTCTGAGTGTCGCATTTCCTAATTCGATTCAATAAAGAATGTAATTGGATAAAAGTGGGATTTCCATCTCACGACTTTTTGTGTTAATCTATAATGAACCTTTACCTTTACCTTTTATGTAATAATGGAGTGAAATTCA